AGATATAGTTAACTTTAGGAACAAAATATAGGATTACGCTCTTAAGCTATCTAAAACTACCGGGAATCGCACACTCTTTGCGTTTGGTATATTTAGAAATCCGTTAACGATGTAAACTTTTAAAAGATACAACCGCATCAAAACTCTCCACTTTGAGAGGGTCAATCATAAACCGCAAATCCGCCATGTTGCCACTTTTGAATGTTCCCGCCATCTAGGTATCAACCAATCAGAATGGGGATGACGCCGCAAGTCGCGTGATCGCCTCTCAACCGCACGTAAGGACAAGCAGAACGCAGAGCTTCCCGCGAGCAATGGCGCCGCACAGTAAAACAAAACCACTTAAATCGGTTGACAGTTTGCATTTCCTAGGCACACGGAAATGCAGGATATTGTGGTTTGTTATTATTGTGAGAAGACTGTGAGAAAACGAAGAAGCGCTGATGCCTATTAAACGCTTCAATCTCCAGAGGCTTAAAAGCCGAAAATTAGTGCAGAAGTTCTGCACAGATTCCACACAGGTTCTGCACCCAGGAACGGACGCGTGCTTTCTTACCATGCATGACAAAGGCAGTCTCTGTGTCCCCTCCAAATGACATGGAAGCACTTTCCTCATTCAGAGGAAGGTGCTGGTCCAACGACCACTGCTTTACAGTGGCTACATCTATTTAAAGGACACTTTCACTGGAACTCCGGGATTTCAAGTCGTCCGCAAAAGGTAGACATGGACAGGCAGGAACATCTGGAAGGTCGTTGACTCCTAAAATGGATTTGTCCTAAAGGCCAGATGACATAGACGCCGAGTAAGGTCCGTCTGCTAGGCGGAATTCGACACGGATTCCGTTTTACCGCTCGCACTCAGGTGCCACCACGGCCGAGAAAGCTATCCTACGCGAGATTGACCAGTCCAGCATCAAGCCGAGATCTGATTGGTCTAAAGTCTGAACCCAACAGCCAATCATGGCAGTGTTGACCAAATGCCGGTTGCCAAAGGCGCATCCAAAAGGCGTCAGAATTCCGAGACTTGTCGCCGCTTACACTATGTATAGATGACGCGCTGTACAAGTGTTCTTGACTTCGTTTTGGACGTTAGTATACTTTTTGCTTATTCGGTGCCAGTTTTGATGTGAACCCTAGCTTGGGAGGCTTGGACCAAGAACTAAGCTGAGGTAAATATCTTCACTACTCGGCCGAGCCTAGGTCAGTTAATGGAAGTTGTTGCTTCCACGGGTTCGGTACAAGTTTCCTCCATTTACGGGTTAGACCAATCCTGAGCTGCTTGAATTCTATGTCCTGGTTAACGACTAATTGTAGCCAGTAAATTCCGTTAATTTGGCTTGGGCAACTGCAGCCCAATGCTGGAAATGTTCACTGGATTTTGCATTCTGTTCAGTATACTATCAGATTCACCTTGTCCGTGAAATGATGAAGGGCCACAATCGCTACATGACATACCGCTAAGGACGTTCGAACCTTCGGGCCATGTCTTTCGAGCAGCAGTTCAGTTGATTACCTGCTTGTTTTCACCCGGGCTGTCGGTCTCTAACAGTGTCATGTGCTGTGAGTACGCGGCCCCAGCAGATCCCGATCTGCACAAAGTGCTGGTGAATTCATCGATCAGTGGCTTACTCATTTTGGTCTATGTGGGATAATAATATCGCACCAGAGGGTTGGGGTGAATCAACAATAGTGCCCACCTTAAAAAATGTCGCCCGCATTGTGTGTCTCGACTCTTACAAGGCTTCTGACCACTTCTCCGTCGCCTCGGGGCAGCATGGGGAAATTCGGTCGGTGAGAAGTGGATGCGCTATCGACTATATCTTTACACTCGATCAAGTGTTGGTGCAAAACCGTGGGGCGAGATGGCCGAAGTGGTTAGAGCGCGAATTTACTGACCGGAAGGTTCGTGGTTCGAACCCGACCTCTGCCTCTCGACTTCCCCTGTCTAGGCTTGGGCAACCTGGCAGTATCTCAGCCCTCGTACGACCTTCGGGTGGCATGGCAGTTAGGCACCGAAAGGGTGCTACAGCTGAACGCAAAACTGTGTTTACAGATGACTCACAAGAAACAGCTTGGTGTCGAAGATGCGTTTGATTCTGTCGAATAGTCAGTCACATGCTCAACGGGATATATCTCAGAAGTTCGTGACCATGTGTCGGCTCTTAAATCCACATACTCCTGGGTTTGTGGCAGTGTATGTGATGCTTCCCAAAACTTCCCTTTAGAAGGCTGTCTCTGGCAATAATGCTCACTACTCATTTCTGTTCACTTTCGCAATTGAGGTACTAATGAGGCGAACGCTAAAGGGTCCTTTAATTCCCGGCCTTCAAATCTTTGCCGGTTGGAACCTTGTCGATATCGAGTTTGTGGATAACATAATCTTTGGAAACGAACAGAAAGCTGTTTGATCGGTTAACAACGGTTGTATATTCACATGCACGTTGCACTGCACCTGCAAGGGGGGCAGAGTCAATAATCATGGTGTATAACCCGCGCACTTCAAGGGGAGGCACTAGAGGTTATGGAGGGGTTCACGTGCCTCGGTAGGTGTATCAACTCTGACGGAGTCAGAGTCATCGCGTGCACTTCAAAGACCAGAACCACATTTACCATTTCACATCACTTATAGCGCCAAAAATACATATCCTTGGGTCTCAAGTTTCGTGTCTACCGGTCTACAAATGTATGGTTACGAGGCATGACCACTGTGGGCAGGTGGAATGAGGCGTCTCACAACCTTTGCTAATATCGGATGGCGTTTTTCCAAGAAGTGGTGGTCAACCGAGTGAGTGGCCTTATTGTCAGTTTCTCCCCAGGTTGTCCAGTTGAGCCTTAGGAGGCGCGGGTGTCCACGAATGCTTGTGGTAAGCTAGCACAAGTATCATTGCTTGTCGATTTTACCACAATGCTTTAGGTCTGACTAAAATTTGTGTTTATGATCGTATATAGGTGGAATCAGTCAATTCACATCGATTTATCAGCTATAGGTACATTGGTCCTCGCTGCTACAGTTTCAAGTCACCGGAAAACGGAAGTGTGGGACATACAATCAAGCCTTGGAGGCGAAGTCATGTTCAATGGCATCACTAATGTTACCCTCCCTAATTTTTGGGTTAGTGACAACACAAGGATACACTGTACCGATTGAATTAAGGACCGCGATCCTTCGTTCGTGGGTCCTAATTTTCATTGGAATACTTCATTAGGGGCCCTTCAGTCTAAGCAGCCGATCTACGCCGTCACAACGATGGTTGCACAACCATGGCGGAGTTCGCGGAAGCCCAGTGTTTAAGGCGTGAACTTGCTGACCGGAGGGTCCGTGGTTCGAACTCAACCTCTGCATCTCGACCGCTACTGTAGGCTTGTGCAACCTGGCGTATCCCAGGCCTCGTGCTTCCGTCGGGTCGCGTGGCAGCCGGGCACCGAAGTTTTACGTCTGGGTCGTTATTATTTTTTTGCTGCACAATCCATTCTACGCGGACATCAAAGTGTGCGTTCCACCCAGGTTGATTTCAGCAGAGTAAACTTTCAAAACCACTTCACTCCAAACGAGTAATAGGAGTTATATGCCTCTTCCTCTCTAAAGATAAAAGAAAAAGATAATCGTTCACCTTTCGGTGCCTAGCTGCCGCACCATTCGAAGAAAGCACGATGTCTGCGATACTGCCAGATTGTCCAAGCCTTGACAGGGGAAGTCGAGAGGCAGAGGTCGGGTTCGAAACACGGACCTTCCGGTCAGCAAATTTGCGCTGTAGCCACTGAGCACTCTCCCCCTCGCCTCATCTCTATTAGACTACCCTCGTAATGCCTTCACGTCAGCCTTCTACAATATTCGTTTTGAAATAGTTCTGTGCACCAAGCCACTATTTTGGAGCTTCAGAAGATGTACGCTCAGAGGAGATAGTTTTGATATTTGAGGCAACGAATTGCTTCAGTTTTTTTCAAGGTTCCCATTTGTGATTTACTCGTAGGCCCTCAGTCGTTCAGTACCCCGGCCGGTTTGTAGGGATCCGTAGATTTTCGGAATGTCAGTATTTTTGACGCGGATGGTTCGCATGCTGGATTAATTTATTTTCTCAAAGGGTATGATGATTTCCTCCTGGATCGGTTTCCAAAAAGTCTGAATACGTAATGACCTATCTTCTTGGCACCTCGTGCCTCGTGTTTTGAACCTCATTACTGTGCGTCCAGCTTTCACGTGATATGACTGAATCAATGGAAAAGCAGCCCGTTATTTCGACACGGCGGGGTTCTGCCACACAGACCAAGCGAAATCGAACCCGAGAATAGGTCTAGAGTTCAGAAATAAACCCGGAATTGCATTTCCCCTCCTCTGATAGTCATTCCTGGCACGGTCGTGCAGTGAATACTAGACCACCTAGTCCTTGGAACTATCGTCATCTCACTAATATGACAGCATTTCAGAAGCCCTGCCAGATTGGGTTACTGTGTTTGCACACCAATGCGGTTTGATTATCCAGCCGTTCAACCAACGTGTCCGTAATTTTGAAACTTTACTACTGGTACACGGGTGGCGAACCTGTTGTTTTCTCGAAACGAACGTTGGCTACATGTCAGTTGGGAAGTGGTTGATGGCTTCTTGACAGTGAAGCACATAAAATCAGTTCTGGAACCATCCACCTTAGTAGGAAGCAGAAACACAGAGGAACACTAACCAGAAAAATTACTCTTTCATATGAAGCATCTTGGTAATCTGGGTTGTACAATTAACCGTTGCCGGTCACTACTTCATTTCGTGGGTTTTGTTCATCTCCAAGACTGCTTAATCTTTGTTAGTAACCTCTAGCGAAGGTATCCTGCCCTTGTAGCCTTGTGAACCGCATGCTGAACTTTGTGTTCTTTTTTCCAGCTTATAACTAGTCAATGTTGCCACGTATGGGCTTAAACGGGTGGTTGCTCTTGTACAAATATACAAAAGATAATTGCCAGTTCCACTAATGTATTATTTTCATCACCAGATTTCATTTCCTATTGCAGCCTGCGAATCCCTATCCGGTTGAGTGAAGTCATGGTCACCAGACTAGTGTGACGGAATTTTTGAAGACTTGGAAAGGAAGTGGTTTGCAGCCTTCACATGCCACGTGGTCGTAAATCCCAGCTTTACGGCCTGGAGCTGCGCTTTATCTGTGAATGGAGTGGATGCAGCCAGCCGTTTTCAGGGTTGGGAGAGCTGAAAACGCATGTATTGGAGCACTTCAGGGTGGGTTTTTCTGTGTTCCTGAGTCCTCGCTTTTAGTTTAAGTTTCCCACCATTCCAGCAACTTGCTCTACTGTAGGAAGAATTGTTCCTTTCTCGTATTTCACCCGGCACTTCCTTCCTTCATGAGACATATCCTTGGGTTTTGGGTTTTGACGTCAGAAACTAGCTCATTGTCTCGCTGTAATCGTACTGTCCTGGCATTACCACTTCAAAGTGTCCAGCGTCACTACATTGCCTTGGAACACAACGGCTCGCCGACGATGGCATCTCCGTCAAAAATGAGACATTTGCAGTTAAACTGCTCAGCTCAGCGACCAAACCAATGGCCACTCATTCAACATTCTATGTAGGTTATTCGAATGCGGAGTGGTTCTGTGTACCCTACTTGTCGGAATAAGATGGTCCCATAAGTTGCGCACTAAGTTTTTGGTTTCGGTTCGCTCTCCCTATCGCTAGGTTCAAGAGGCATATTTCACTCGACATCACTAGACTGGATTCTTCTCGAAGGAGAGATTGTGCCAATTTAACGGGAAGACGGGTTGAAGTCTCTCAAGATGAAGTGCGGTCTATAAATTGCTCAGCTGTAGTACCCTTTCGGTGCCCAGCTTCCATCCCACCAAAAGGAAGCACGAGGGCTAGGAAGTCGAGATGCACTGTCGGGTCCGAACCACGGACCTTCGGGTCAGTAAATTCGCGCCCTGAACACTGGGCCATCTCGCGGTATGGGGTAATACCAATTTGTTTACTGTCGTGTTTGTTTGTTCTCAGGAGTTGGGCCCCTTTCATTCATTACGTTGAAGCATAGAACGCCATGTGGTTTTAATGGTTGTTTCACTCACAAGCTAGAGACACAAAAGGGTGTAGACAAAATACTTGAATAAAGGGCGTACAGATAGGCTCTGGCAACAAAAGAGACAGCCGACAATAAACAAGTCCACGTGGTTAGAACTATGAAAGTCTAATGTTTAAGTTCGAAGCTTTTCGTGCACACTACCATCTAGTGAATCGTGATGAGCCAGACCCCACACAGTTAGCCTTTTATGGTCATAATTTCACAGCAGCATACTAAACGAATCTTTCAAATTTCTCTGATGACCTGTTTGCGTGATTTGTGTGGCGACTGAAAATGCTGGATCTCGGTCTGTCCTCCACGCTTCTGGAGCCACCTGTGCTACTGATTTAGCCACGGGCTCCGTTAAACCTCCACTAAACCCTGTTATGTCGATAAGGACGCCTCCGCATCCACACCGGAAGTGGAAAATTACATGGGATGAAGATAAGTTCGAAGAAAGAGGGCTGCAGTGTCATAGAACGCCTCTGAACCAGTGCACACTTAGTTCTGATCGCCAGCGGAACTATCTCAGTTCGTCAGAATTTTCTGCCGCCCATGTAGTCTGCCCATTCACTTGCGGTTATCGAAGCACTTGTATCCAAGCTTCAGTTATATATATATATATATATATATATAATAAAATATCAAGATTTTTAGTACATGACCACCTGCGCACCAGACCCCACTGATTTTTGTATGAATCTCTCAAACTCAACCCAAGTGACCCAGGAACGTCGCTAGCTTACCACTGATCCAAGCTGTTCCACGCAGCGGCATACATTGCCTCCATTCGAAGCATAGTGGAAACTTCGGTTCTGCATGAGGATGTTTTGTTAAATCAAAAGTGTGGTGTTATGGGATGCCATCGTAGAACTGTGCTGTGTCCTCCAGGTTATTTCAGACTTTCTGGTGGAATTTTAGTTATTCCGTCAAATTGGTTACCTCACATAAGAGCTTCGGGGAGCCGAATTTTACCCTGAAGTTTCCGTTGGTGTGTCTGAGTATGATGTAATTTATTTTTTCAATAAAGCTGATCGCACAATTAATATGTAACCACAGCATGATCCGTTTCTGGAATCTTTGGACGGCATCGCGTCGGTACACCAAAATACATCACTTGGTGTTACACAAGTTGCTAATACAATTCATGGGCCAGATATTGAGGCCAACAGCATCGTACGATAAGTGGAAGGCAGTGAGTCAGATAGTGTGGTTTCGGTATTAGGTAGCTAATGCACACACATTATATATATATATATAATTTTTGTCTATTGGCGATCTTCTAAGGAGATATTNCATGGGCCAGATATTGAGGCCAACAGCATCGTACGATAAGTGGAAGGCAGTGAGTCAGATAGTGTGGTTTCGGTATTAGGTAGCTAATGCACACACATTATATATATATATAGAATTTTTGTCTATTGGCGATCTTCCAAGGAGATAATTGAAATCATTAATTTTTAGCAGACATTGTTACTAAGATGCACCCGTTACCGTAAGCGTACTGCTGGTTAACGCAGCCACAACTTCTTTGTAGTCAGTCCTCATCTTCAGCTGTAAACGGCTTACTCGTAGTTGTTACAGCTGCCGCAGTTTCGTTCGCCGAGGATTCGGAGAGATAGCCACATGTTAGAGACACGAACTGATGCAATTGACGCATGAATCCAAGAGTGACAGTGAACTTTCCATCATGGCCATCAGGAGGGGGAGGATATGTATCCGTATTCACTATAGGTTTACTGGAATTGGTCAAGAAATGGTTTGCCCACACCAGGCTCCGATAAGGCCATGACGGCTGCACTGCGTCACACAGATGGAAACTGGTCAGCGTTAGCCTTTCATATTTGCGATGCGTTTGCAAGCATCCCAGCTGCAAACGGCTTTAAGCCAGGACCTGCATTTTAGCAGTCAAATCAAGCCCTCTCGCGTAGGTAAATATATGAACGCTGCCTCGAATAGTGAAAAGCCAAGCGTTTGCGGTCTGCGTTCTGAATAACTCACGAGAATTTTAGCCAGCCTCTTCCTTTTCGTTTCGAATGACAGTCAGTTGATGATGGTTAATTCACGAATCTACTGTTCGGATGGTACGTTGTTCGAATCCAGCACCGACATATCGACCAGTTGGACAGCGTGGCAGTATTTGAGCCCTCGTTCCTCCTTCGGGTGAAATGGCAGCTGTGCACCAAGCGTGTATTACAGCTGAACCATTTGATAGTTATTCCCACTCTCACTCGCCATGAATATCGGCCCTCAGAGACAAGACAGCCCAGGGGAAGATTTCAGGCTTGTGGATGGTGGTCAGTGTTCGATGTGATCAATCACACCCGTTATCTGCACTTCTTAGGAGTGAGCTTCTTCGAAGAGATATCCACGCGAAGCGTCCCATGTCATTTTATAACCTAGTATGCTCTTGTTTTACTGCCCTCGTAATGCATATGAAATGAGGATCCGATGAAGCAATGCATGTAAGCCAGGGGGCTATGAGCTTGCGTGCTGACTTAAACTTCGGGCTTATAGCGCGATATGGAGGCCTCCGAAATTTCTGCATCAGTGTTTCCTGTCAACCATGATTTAGTGTCCAATCTCTTCTCTCTCACGGGCAGAATCTTTTCAGGAGAGACGAGACATTCCTTTCTTCAGCGACAGCCCCAAGGGGGTTACTCGCTGTGTTCATTGAGAGTGTGCAGCCCAGCTGACTTAGGTAACCCGACTGGCTTGCTGCATCTGTTTGGACGGTGAACGTGGAACCACCTACGGCCTCGGAGGTTTACGACTGCATATGTTCTCTCAAGCGCCACCGAGCTCCCGGTCCGGATGACCTCCCACCTGCACTGTTCAAAGACGGGGGTGAAGTCCTCAGTCAGCGCCTGTCCGACACTGTCTTTCTCCGCTTTGTCTAAGGACGGAGAATTACTCAGCTCGAAATCACCTGTGCACACCATTTGTAAGACAGGAAGTGCCAAAGGAATAGCAGATATTTGATGTCGTTCCTGTCTTCAAAATAGATGTTATATCTGAATATCAGCCAATTATCAGAGTGCCCGTTTGATCATGATCGCTTCCAAGTTGCCCACAGATATGATCCCACGCAGGAATACCAGCACCTTTGTGAGGAGAGCCGTGAAAACCAAGCAGAGTTCCGTTCGGGTCGTGGCTGCATTTACCATATCTCTACCTCACGACAACTGCTGGAGCATCGTCACACAGAAAAACAATAATTGTTGTTCTCATGTCTGAACGTAATGTCCGGCTCGGTCGCGCTGCTTTGTGGGGATGTCTATCTTTCAATGGTGTGCCACGCATTTTCTTCACAGTCCTCCAACCATCATACTATATACCTGCGGGCGCGTTAAGGTCTGCTGGGAATACTCTCCCAACATGACCAAAAGTGGTGCCCTTCAGGCTTACTGTTTGTCACCTTTTCTCCATAACCTAATAGTGGATTAATTAAGTGAGAAACTTTTGTTGTCTTTCACCCTAATTTTGGACCTTCTTTCCTGGGAAGCCCTTAAATTCATTGAATATTTGGCCAATGTTGCGCTACTTCTTTCAGTTTCCATTCAGATAAGAAACACACCAAATAACCTAAGTGATGTTACCATGCGTTTCGAATTGCGTCTCTCACCCTCAAAGTACGAAGTGCTATTATACGACTGGGCGAGCGCGCCACTAAAACAGGCTATGGTGTCAGAACCAAGTTACTGTCTGATTTCGTTTCCCCATCCTGCTGCATTCGGGGATTAAGGCGACCCGGTCGATGGCATGATTTCTTCTTCCAGGATGGGGACCGCGTGATCCTCATTGTGCCTGGTTGGAGACACTACAAGATATGGCTGGCACCCGATGTCAGTGGCGTTCTTGTTGTCAGTTTCTGTCCAGATTGCCTGAGTGAATGTCTGGAGGTGTAGGCACCTCGGAATGATTGTGTTAAGCTAGCACTAAGTCCCTCCCCCATCCACCTTTATTCTTTTCTTTACAATAAGGCTTTCAAATAAGTCATGGCTGTACGGCAGTGAAGCATTGGTGTTGAGCACTGATGTCATGCTGTCGATGATGATGATGATGATTGGAAGTGTTTAGCTACATTGAAGCGACAAAAGTATCGCGTGAAATTATCCCGTGATCTAATCTGTCCACTAGCTATTCATCTAATTCTTCCTTATTTGGTGTTTATTAGTGTATTCATGTTGATATCCTATAGTTTTTGCCTTCCCAAGCGCTGGCATAACAAATTAGCAACTGATGATCACTAATGGCGTTCACCGTCGTGACAACCAACTGTTCTGCCAATGCATGACCACCCCTTGGTCCTGAGTAGAATGATCCATTTCAGTTGTTTTGCCTGGATAACTTGGTTTGCTTTCCTAAATCTTCTGTAGAAATTTAATGAAAGTGCCATGCACTTCGCAGTTGATCCTTATTGCGGAATTTGTGGTGCTGCTTTGGATCTAACCGATTGGGGTTCCCTCGAAAGACATTCGCACTACCACGCTTGGACTTTATTTCTCCGAGTCAAAGGGTGTCAGATACAAGAAATCAACGATTGGCCCCCTTGTCTGGCAGACAACACTTCAAGAACAACGGTCCCTGATTTGCCGACCCCATTCGAATGTGGTTGGGAATATTGTGACTATCGAACGAACGATATTACTGACTTCATTCTGCACGTCTCCAGGCATCCTGAGGTAAATCAGTTATGTCGTTTGTTGACTTTCCCATGATTCTTTGGTACACGTAATGAAGCGTAACTGAATTTCCAAGGATCACAGTTTGGTTTTTAGAGTTTTCGAGCGTCCAGTGTTTATTCCATGTCTCAGATATCAGTAGCTCACTACACTCTTTATAAATAGAGTGCTTGTGTAGAATGTAGAGTCTCCCTGTTCACAGAGTCGACGACTTTCGTGAATTCTGTGAACAGTGAGTATACTGGTCGGTTCATTTCCCAGCGTTTTCGAGGCAGCTAATGCGCTGCAAAAAATGGGGTCAGTCGTGGTGCGTCCGCTTTGGAGTCTACAGTGCTTTTCAGGAGTATTTTCTTCCAGAATATCTGTGCTGAAGCGCGCCGAGTCTTTCCCTGTAATGCGGGGAAGACCGACTCCGCGATAATGGTCCTTTTTTTAAAATCAAATTCTCTTAACTTTGAGCAGTATTACAATTGTGATGTTCTTAAAATCCTGGCAGATCGTGCAACACACCTGAAAGACTCGTCTCCCACTATTAGTCCACCAATCAGTTGGACGGTTACTGGCCTGTTCCCAATAACCATGGAAGGTATGTGTCATCACAATGCCACTTTTGATGCCTCTTGTTCTTCAATCCAATGGATTTGACCGCAGCCGTCCTGGCACGTTCCTTCCTTGC